GGTGAGGTGGAAGGAGGCTATGGCTGGTTAGTGCAGGCAAATCTGCTGTTGACAATGTGCGCTCAGTGTTCAGGGCCACATGAATAGAGGTCTTCAGAGGTTGGGGGGAGTAGTGGAGAAGGTATGGGGGAGGGGAGGGAGTAAAAGAGGGTGAGGAGAAAGAATAGAAGCCAATCACAGAGCGTAAGTTGGAAACAAACCCTGATCAACTTAACTCTAATTGCATTTGACAGCTCTGGAGAAGTTGGACAGTTAGTGGGGTTTTTCTCCCCCCACCAAGCTGACAAGAGCCACTAGGTACTTTGTAAACACACGATCGATCTGGGGGTAAGAGCAAGAATTCAGGGATTGTCAAGTGAGAGACAGGAACAGACAGCAAAGGGAATTGTGAGAGGTATTAATACAGAGCTGGACTCCCCCTCACCTAGTTGTTTTGGAAGATTCTTTATGGGGATGTTTCTGCAGAGAAACCCATTTCTACCATGGTCTCTGTAACCCACGGCCTTTACTTTTCCTCAGGTTAAAAATAAAAAAAAAAAAGTGCTGTTTCAGAAGCTTTTTGAAGTCAATGTTCAAAACGTACAAAAATCAAGAGATACTGTCCTTTGGCTTTTAATTTTTTCCTCCCTTTCCTTTTGCTCCGGTGTTTTCTCCCCTTTGGGGGACTGCAGGATGTGATCCTCTCCCCAAAGAACGGGAGGCAGCTTTTCAATTGTTAATACCAGTAACTGGACTTTTGGACCATGCTTTTTTCTTCGGCTAATCCAATCACCAGTAAAATCCTCATTCCCTCTTAGGTTTCCCAGCCTTAAATGAAAGCAGTCTGAAGTCACTAGCCACTGAGAGAGATCCTTCAACACATTTTTTTCTTTCCCGCTTACGTTCCTAGTCTTCACCCCCGGCTCGATCCTAATACAGTTATCAAGAGAGACAAACTCCTCCGAGAGTAATTTACAAACGATGGTCAAACTTACAAACTTCCAGCAAATTGCACCGAGTCATGTCCAGCCACTTTTCTGTCCACTTTTGTACATTCCATCCCCGGCCAGTGGATCTGAGGGTCTGGACTCGCAATAAGCAATGTGGTTCTATCTCTTGGATTGCTCCGCTTTTGAGATGGAAAAGAAAGTAGCTGGTCTTTTCCTTTCTCTTTCCCGTCTGTTGTTCGCCGCTGGGCTGACACTGGCTCCGCAGTCCGGAGTCACGGCGATACACAGGCTTTCATTGTGCTCCGATAGGAGAGGGAGAGAAAGAGAGAGAGTGAGACAGAGGGAGAAAGAGAGAGCCAGCGAGCTGCTGGGGGGGGGGGGGGGGGAGGGCGGGGGGAGCGCTCGCCCGAGGCTCCCTGGTGGAAGGCGGGTGCCACTGCACAGGCGAGCAAGGCGGCCGGCGCCGGGGAAAGGGGAACACAGAGGGCCTCCCAGCGGCTGAAGAGGTGAATCCCAAAGCCTGCGCATCTCGGCGGCGGCGCGCGCAGCTCGGCCTCCGCCTCGGCTCCGGGGCGGGGGAAAAGGCTGGGGAAATTCCCCAACCTCTAGTCGGCTACTTCACCAGCCTGAAATGTTGAAGAAATTCCCGGCCAGGGGATGTATTTTCCCTTCCAGACCTCCGTTACGCCCCCCTGAGGATGTCATTTTCATTTTTCAATATGTTGTCCGTGACACCCCAGAGCACCCTAGCGAGAGCTGGGTGAGCACGGAGGAGATGTTCAAGAGTGTCACAGGGAGATGTAGGGTGTGTGCGCGTTGCGGGAGGGGGGAGGAGGGAGAGGAGAAGAAATCACATCATTAGCTCCTAAAGGACAGGCCGGTGTCTATCTACCTGCCCGCCTGCGCCTGCTTTGTACGTCTCTGGATAAGTCAATCTGGGTGATCATAAGCATATCAGTAAGAATAACTAAAATAGTTTACCATGATGAAATTACCAATACCAGTTCCAGAAAGGAAAAAAAAATTTTTCTTTGAAAATACAAGATTGCCTATGACAAACCTAATGCAAGATCTGGGGTCTCCATAGCTGTCTGATTTACATATACAATGAGGAAATTCATTATGTAGCAGTCGAGTTTCAAGAAGTTTACTAACACAAACCAAATAGATCTCTGACACAGACTGTTGTCCCCTCACCTTCAGATAATCCTACCTTTAAGACCTCAAAGTGTATATTGGATTCTGCTTATTATTATCAATTATGGAGAATAAATTAAGGTGAGCGCAAGATTGGTATAGTCAGGTCCATAAATATTCTGTGTATCCTAACTTGGAAGTCGTTTGGATTTGAGGTCTCAAGCAATGGGGCTTTGTTAATTTAAACCAACTCCGGCATCTCAGTAACATGGTGCTGCTTCAAACTGAGCTGTGGATAGAAGTGAATGGGTAAGATCAATGCAAACATTTTAACTCTGGATTTATCTACAATTTAGTTCTCGATAGGCTGGCCTACATTAGTTCATTTTATTTTCACAAATTCTGGAATGCTACTTTGGAATTTGGGACAAGTGCATTCTGATGGAATATAACGTTTTCACTTCTCGTTGGAACATACTTCTTTCTGTCCCTTCCAAGGCTAAGTTCCTCACCACTCATGGAGAAAGGCAGAAATATATCTTTGTTAGGTATGCAAATTTGTACGCAGAACTCTCTCATGAGGTGTCATTAAAAAGTGAAGGAGTTTTGATCATTTTATATTTGATTTTTAAAAAGGTGTATTCATTAGACATTATCTTCTTTCTATTACTACCGGAACTTTATATTCAGCAATCATACTTGATGAAAGAGAAAAAATTCAATATTTAAATTAAAATTTACTGTTCACTCTACAGTCCTGCAGTAACACGGGTTTTGATGAATAACAGAGTTTTTGGTCAAATCCGCTATTCCTAAATGACATAAACTTTGAATTCTAAGCTAGGCAAGGACATACCTTAAAAACTTGTCAAACAACAATTTAATACATTTTCATACTATATTCTAGTGTTGTAGGACACTCCTTTACATTGTCTTTTGTACAAATTTACCCTTTACAGCCATTTAATTTCAAGCTGACATCATCATCCACAACCTCATTTCCATTCACATCAGTTACTGTTTATTTACAGTCACTGTTTCAGGCACAGCACTTCACATATATCTCCTTTAATCCACCAGCTATCCTGAGGGAGAGGTATTATTAACCCCATTTATAAATGAGGAAACTGAGGCTTACTGAAATTAAACTACTTAAGCTAACTAGGAAGTAACACATCAGGACTCAAACTCAAGGCTGATTTCAAACCTATATTCTCTTAACCACTGGACTTGCTGCCTCAGTATCAAGTGTGAAAAGAGTTACAGGGAAACCAGACTATACCCAAAATAGCTCAAGGGCTGCAATTACACCTCAATCAACACGCTGGAGTCTAAGCAAGTCCTATAATACCTCCAAGAAATGAGTAGTGAATAGAATTACTCATCTGAGTATGAGAGCAGACAAGTGAGAAAGTATGGTCAATTACATACAGCTGCCAATAAAATAAACATTTCTTTTTTTCCTTGTCTTTCCCTTTTATGGAACTGTTCCCTCTTTTACATCTCTAAAGCTTCTGTAATAGCTCTATGGATTTTTTTAAAGCATTAGTTCCTTTTTATTTGTCCATCTGTGTTCCTCATCATCCCTACTATCCATAGCTACTTAACACAAAGAATTTAACACTATAGTAATAAATGCCCAGACCTAAAAAGTTCATAGACATGTGAGATTTATGTTTACAAACTATTTTTTGTGTTATATAGAATCAATGATATCAATGATGATGATGATAAAATAATACAGTATGTCATAATACCTGCAAAAGTTAATTCTAATTTTTCAACATTTCTATTTTCTTCTAGACTACTTGCTTTTGGCCCCATGATCCATGCTAATTCTCATTTCCTGACAGCCTGTCTCTTTGCCATTCTTTTGGTGTTATCATGTACATAAAAGCCTCTTGTACTCTCCAAACACCTACTGAAGAAGCTTGCCCGGTTGCAGTGACCTTAGACATCAGCAAAGCTACCTATTAGCATTTCCTGACCAACAGTCAGAATGCTGTTCTAATAGGAAAAATGCTTCAAGCCAACACGATGCCTGATCTAGGAACTGGGTCAGCTGCCATCATAAGTCCCTAAAATCATTAGTGCTTTCATTTTTACAAATTAAATGCATGCTATTTAAAAGAATAAATTAATTTTTACAACTTTCAGTTGGAACTCTCACTATTCAGCTGGCTCAAGCTTGTCTGTAGTGTCACATACAAAGAAGTGATGCTTCCCGGGTCATCAGAGATACTTTAGAGATCATTCCCTTGCTTTTCTTGGACTTCTTTTTTAACAAATCATTCATGATCCCTCACCCTTCCCACTTGACTATCACTTTTCCTCTAAACTCTGCCTTGCATCTTTTTGGACACTCACTTCAACTTTCAACTGTGGCTTCGTATAGTTAAGGATTATTTCCATATGACAGAAAAATAAGAATAATAGAGATATGTGACTGAAATTTCTATTTCACTTTTAAAAAGGTATGCACTCCTCACATGAAACATCAGCATCAGTATTCTCACAACTTTGTAAGCTCTTTCTCCCTGTTTTGTTTACAATCATAATAGGGATAATTTTGGAAAATTAATTGCAGAAAATATTAAGTAATCTCTATGTAAGGACTTAATAAAATGCAATTTTTAATGTATGCAGTTTGTAATGAAGTCCATTCCATGAACCACATAACAGATGAAGCTAGGTTCAACCAACACTTCAAGTAAGAAACAAGTATCTAAAATTCCACAGGGGATGCAAGAGGGAGGAGATATGGGGATATATGTATATGTAGAGCTGATTCACCTTGTTATACAACAGAAACTAACACACCATTGTAAAGCAATTATACTCCAATAAAGATGTAAAAAATAAATAAAATTCCACAGGGAACTGGATCCTATGAGAATACCACTTTTAAGAATTAAAGATACAGAATAGACATGGTCCATTTGTTCACTCTAAAACCATTTTACTTTATTATTTACTTTATTATATTTATATTAAGTGAAAATTTAGATGTGCAAAGCAATGCAGATGCCAAAATATGCTTTTAAACTATTTTTGGCTGAATTTGTCTCTCTGAGATCTTCTGATCCTAACATAAATACTTATGTGGGAAAAGTAATGGATAAAAATAAATAAAATACATCTTAAATCATTAACCTGTAGACAAAATCGGATAGGAAAAAGAACGAACATTATGAAGCATGAAAATACATATCATGAAATTATTCCTGAATGTGAGGGTTGGAAGACTCTGGAGGCCTGAAATCTATTCGTAAGGGAAACTCTGGAAGAGGAGAAAAAGCACTCCTCTACTTAAAATGGGTAAACTACAGTCTGATTCTGAGGCAAGGAAACTAAATTGAATGAGACACTGAGGTTTCTTTCATGGCCCACTGATTTAGATAATGACAGTAGTAAAAAATGTATTAGTGAAGATCATTTAATACTGCAAAAGGGTAATAAACAGATCTGGGCAGGAATTCAGCAATAAATACATATAGATGTTAGTCTAAATACATTTTTTAAATACAGTGTTTTTCTATTAAACTGACAGTACATGAACAGCTCATTCACTTGATAGTCGTATGTTATAAAGGCATTGTTATATAACTTTAAAATACACTTAACAATGATTAAGCTTATGTTTTCTATGTACAGTGGATAAAAGTTTTATTAGACTGTAGAGCGCCATTTCATGGAAATTAAGATGAACATATGTTTTACACAAGATATTCTGCCATGAACCTATACATAAAATATATAAATGTCACATGATACAGAGAAACAAGACTCATGATCTTCAAATTTACAGGAATTTATAAAATCTTCTCTGAAGGAAATGTGTTACAATTCAGTCAAACTTCTCATCTTGAAAGTAATCCGCAGAACTGAGATATTCTTGAAGTTGATCGTATTTCTGTGTATACAATAAAAAAGCTAGTTATTTTACTCAAAGCAGTGAAGATAAACTAGGCCTTTTCAATCTACAGACACAAATAGGAGCAAGTTAATCTCATGGTAATTGTGAACAAAAATCTTTTTATTATGAACAGGGGCTCAATTTCAAATAAGCATTTCTAATTCATATAAAGCATTGGAAAGAGATCAAAATGAACATTATTAATTTCATAACTTTCTTATAAATTATAAGTTTTCTATTATCATATTTATAGTAGAAACATAACAACTTTAATAACTTATTCAACAAAAATTTGCTGAACACATAACATATATCAAATACTCTGCTAATGACTGTTTAGGTATTAAAAAAATTGCTTTCCCTGCCCCTAAGGAGAACAGAGTTCACCAATGACAACAAATAACAAGTGCCAAAAAGAAGTATAGACACTGTTACGCGGGTTCAGAAGAGAGGTTATGGTTAGCTGAGGTGACCAGGAAAGAGTGGCATTTAAGCTGTCCTGGGGAAAAAGATTTGGTAGGCAACGATTTGGTGGAGAGTTTTCTCTAGGAGACAAAAGTCCATACAACAGTGACAAGACAAGAAAGTACGGGATTTGACTACAATCTGAGGTTTTGTAGGGGAATTGAGAGAGATAAGACTGAACCAAAGAGGTAGTATGAAATGCTAGGTTACAGAGTTTAGCAATAATGTGACAGGCGATGGAAAACTGCCAAAGGTGTTAGGGCAGGAAATTGACACTATCTGAGGTGTATTTTTTGGGGAAAAAAAAAGGGGAAAAAAAAGGTGAAACATCTAGTCTAGAATGGTTTGGCAACTACTTACTATAATAGTCTACTGTAATAATTTAGGTAATGAGGGCCTAAATTTGAGTGACAGCAATGAAGGTGGAGAGAAAGACCAGGGCAAGACAAGAGAAGAGAGGAATTGGGATGATTTGGAGATTTCAAGCTTGACAGATTTCAGAGTGCTTCCTTCAGCTGAGGAGATGAACTGACCTAATGGTTTCTTAACTCTACTTACGAGCTCTGGTTTTACTCCCAGTAAAGTGAGTGAGGATCCTGATAACTCTGATGCTTGTGGTCATAGGAACTGAAACTTGATACTTCTATGGACATACTTTATTCACTTCCTGGTGTTATGTATTCACCACCCCATCCCAATAATCCTGCCTTCAATTTCCCTGGAAACCCCATCATCATAGGCACTCTCTTCTTAAAGAAAAAACATTTGTTAGAATTTGCCAGTGCATATGATACTCCGTTCTTCAGCTCTAATTTAGAACAAGACATATATTACTATTATGTTTATTATATATTTTCATTTTATTATAATTTTGTATTATAATTTTCTTATCATTTGTTCTTTTCTTACACTTGAATTGCTCCTACCCTTTTAATATCATTAGTTAAAAACAGATCTCCTAGTTCAACTGTTAGGAGGAAGAATAAGAAGAATGAAGTTAGTCTAGTTGGCAGGTCTTTGGGAAGAAATGCTGAGATATCCCGAGATAATGGAAGGAAAATGCTCGGAGTAAGAAGAGTCAGGTAAGGAAAAAAGCAAGGTGTGAAACACAAGCTGGGGGAGGAATGACAGGAACAGATAGTTTGTGTAAGGTAAAAGAAGGGGTTCACATAATAATTGAGAGCTAAGAGCAGAAAGAGCCACGGATGTGGCCACTCAAGTATAATAGCACTGAGCCCTGGCATTCTAAAGGGTTAGAATAACTGTGGCCAAGAAGAAGTCATGCATCATGCATCACAAGAACACATGTAGTGCTATTACTCAAAGACACACACACACACACACACTGAGGGGGAGGCAGAGTGATGTTGAAAAATGTCAGGGTACTTGATAAATCCTGAAATTTAATCACAGCACACAAAGCTGCATATGGGTTTATAATGGCTAATAAACTTCTTTGGTTTCTAGGAAATCTTTTGAGAAAGTCTATAGACAATTTTTTTAAAGTAGGAAGGATCTCAAAAAGAAAATGAAGTTTTTTGGTATTTTATGTGAAAAAAAATATGCACATTGTCCTAAACATGCACCATCTTGAAATACCTTCAATGCCCAATGCTAAGTGTTATTCTTTAAGCATAATGTGATACTTACTTGGCTTTCTTAAGAATGTTTTTTTTATTCCAGGTCCCTTCTGTTGTCATGGACCTTGTTAAGCTTTCTCTAAGGTATGTGATTTGGAAATGCTTTTACTTTTTTCTGCAAGAAGTTTAATGTTCTTCCCTATATATGAAATTATTATATAATATATGTAATGCACAGTGATTTTGCTACACCTAGTACATAATTTTTTTTAAAATGCAGTGTTCCAAAAGGTCTTTCAACTCCAGGAGAGGGTTGGCAACACTTAAATGCATCAATAAAAGCACTTAAGAATTTAATGTCATTAAGGGAAATGAAGTTGGGACTTACTGGGTAAGTGATGGCTCTTCCCCAAGGCAAATGAAAAAGCACAGAGAAGGATAAGGAGGAAAGAATTGGAAGTGAGAGAAGTGGAAGCAAAGTAAAAGATAAAAAGCTGAAGAGAGAAAAATGAGAGCAAGACAACTTAAGGGTCAAGATGTGGGGGGCAGGCAAGGGGATCAGTGGGTGGTGGTTTGTGGTGGGCGGATAATTGTCAAAAGGGAAACCAATCTTGATGTCATTCACCAGCCCAGGAGACCTCTGTGGAACTTGTAATGTCCTAAGAAGTTCCTGTTTTGTTGTTCTCATTTTCTTTCCTTTTGCTCGTAAGTTTATTCTCTAAGCTCTCTTTTTATTTTTTTCTTTTACAAATTTCCCTATGATATAAATAATGCAGGCAATGGATCTCAAGTCAGCCTTTTTTTTTTTTTAAGATTAAATATACTGAGTTGCCTGAAAATCTCTTATCTGTTCTCTCTTATACAGTCATGTAACTAGACTTGTTTTAGAAGACTGCAATCATTTTAGCATTCTTTCCATGCACCATAACAATTCTAAAAGCTCTGTGAGCAGGCCAGAGCTTATGAGCTGCCAGCAGATCTTCGGGAATCCAGTGCACTCTTCCAAACCCCCACTTTATCCCTGATATCAAATTTAGTGATCAACAGGATATGGGGGAATCAAAATCAGTGCCGTGGCCTGAAACCTCTGCATTCCCCTTGATCTCCAGTTACAGTGCTCACTGCTCAGTCCCATGTCCTCAAGAAGAGGATGTGGGTGGTATTAGAACTGGCAGCCGAGATCCTTTCCTCAGATTGGCACCAGGTGCTTCTTCTCTCTCAGGTCACAAGAACTGTTCTAAAGATAGGAAGCAGACAAGCAGAGGTGAGTCCTATACTTTGTCAAAGAAAATAAGGGGACTTAATATATATGTAAGGAAAACCACATACATAAAACTGAAAGGACAGAGGTCCTTCACTAAAGGACAGTATCATTGCTGATTAAAATTTATCTGATGAGTTGAGCAAATGCTTAGAACATCAGGGCACCTATTCAGGGTAGGACAATGATAAGCATGAAAGGAATGGGTGGAAGAAGAGAAAATACAAAGACAGGGAGAGAAAGAGAGGTTCTCTTTTAAATTTTACTGTCTTCTACTCTCATAATTTGTATCCTTTTGCTGATAAAAATTAGGCTCCAGAACCTACTCGATGAAATGGTTCTTCAATATTGAGTACCTTACCTCCTTAATCCAGCCACTTTCTTTTGACTGATTGAAAATTCTCTCCACTGTTTCTTTAACCTGTTCATCTTCAACCTCTTCTGTCTTTGCAATGGAGCAACATTCCTGGTACAGCTTGAATTTAAAATGTTTCAGTTCATGGTAAATTCTGGTACGATTAGCACAAATTCTGCCAACAGTAAACACCTAAAGGAAGAAATAAACATCATGTGCTATGTGAAGTGAAGATATTGTAATGAACGTACAGCCTTTCTGGTTTTCAGATTTTCTTTAAAAGTAGAGTCCAATAAATGCTTAATTTTTTAAAATTTATACAATGATTCCTTTACCTTCTTTTATTTAAATAACCCAGTTAATAAAAACTGAGCAACTGCTATGTTTCAAGTATTGAGCTAAGCACTGGAGATGCAGAAATGAAATATGTACCACCTGTATCAGGGGAATTTACAGCCCTGGGAGAAAAACAAATGATTACAAAACAATGTGCCAAATGCTATGCCTGGGATGCAATCAACATACAGAGAAGGGACAATTAACCCAATCCAGAAAGGAGAAGAATCCTCAACAAGGTAATGCGTGAACTAAGTCTTTAAAACACAGAGTCAGCCAAGTTTGGGAAGGAGGAGAAAAATGGCTTATAAGGAAAAGGACAGCCACACCCCAAAACAAGAAAAGCATGCAAGCTATTGTATATACAGTTACTGAGGTAAAAATGCCTGGATTATGATAATTTTCTAGCTTATAAACAACATGTAAACTGAAACAAACTCTCATACCAATATTAAAAATTGGTAGTTTTTAACTACTTTTTTTCTAAAATATTCTGTGAAGTAAAAAATAACTTTGTGTTTTATCCTATTTGTTTCCTGAATTAATGAGTCTGATATAATTATAACACATTAGTATTTTATTGTTAGAAAACTACAAAATTTTTGATTTCTATGTTTATATGGACTTCTGGGATTCTACGATTAAGAATACTATTCTTGTGAAGTCAACCACCCATTCTCTTTCAGAATGTTTTGAATGTATACTTTGTTATACACACCTATAGCTAAAATAGGAAAACAGTATCCCTGCACTGACCAAATTAAATATAATTGTACCTACATTATTTCACTCATTGTAGAAAACGGATCAGAAAGGGCTCCAAACTTTATAACATGACCAATCTTATTCTCATAGAGTAACCTGAGGAAACAAACTTCTTCCTAACTTATGTATTTGTCTCTGTGTCTACATGCATAATAGGTTATGCTTTCATGAATTCAGTACAAATGATATAGTTACAATATTGATCTATGTAACTTGTCTTCTATCTGGAAAATAATAACTGTACCGTTTTTCTGAAGTCACACTGTAGGGATCACACAGGTGATGAGTTCAATACACAGTACAAGAGTATACTGATAAAGATGAATGAAAGTTAAATATGATGATCAGCAAGAGTCAGGTTTGATGCATCATCTTGTGAAGATGGTATCTGCGATACCTTAAAACCTTTCTTAAAATCCCCCAAAGTTGAAGAAAATCATGTTCAGATTTCTGTTCATGTTCTGGGAAAATCTGTTTTTCAGATCATCAGACACAATCAGGTATTATTGTTCATTGCTTACTCACTCTAAGTATCATTCCTATTGCAACATTATCATCAAACTAGCCGTATAAATTACAGTTCACTTGCCAGTACCTCCCACTTTGAGTAAAAAGATACCACAACAGTTGCAGTGGACACTAGGGCTAGTCTCTCCATTTCTGCCATTAGAACAGATGATGTGGGAGAAGTCTCCTATGGTTGTTCTGGAAGAATAATGTGATTTTTTTACTTCTATTGCATTGTATTCTATATTTCCACAAAACAAGAGGAATTTATCTATACAGAATTTTTAAGTTGGGACAAAAGGGAAGGAGAGGTGTTTAAAAATCTCTAATTTTTTTCTCTATGAAATAAAAATATCCACTGAAAATATTAAACATTATAATTTACTCCTTTCCATTTCTAATTCCTACCCTCTTGGTGTCTACCTTACACTTATGGAGGTCAATAAACCCAAAATTACCTTTAGAATATTCTCACACTATTTTTTTCTCAAATGTGATCACATTTTATATGGAAGAGCCTAAACCACTGTTAGTAAGGCTTCATAGAAAACAGTAAATGTATATAGTAGTTGCATACACTGCAAGTGGACCTCTCCTTTCACCCCACCCCTGTTTTACTGTATTGTTATAGCCCACTATACCTTATGAATTAATGTATACAGTACAACACAGCTTATATTGTAGCATGCTATTTATATGAAGTACTAAAAACAAGTAAAATGAATCTATGCTGTTAGAATAGTGTCCTTAAATGTCCAGAAATGTATTCAGAGAGTACTTTTTATTAACTAATTGCATTTCTAAACATTAAGGACACTATTCTAGGGAATTCCCTGGTGGTCCAGTGTTAGGACTCGGCACTTTCATTGCCGAGGGCCCAAGTTCAATCCCTGGTCAGGGAACTAAGATCCCAAAAGCTGCGCGGCACAGCCAAAAAAAAAAGAAAGAAAAAAAAGAAGGACGTTAGTCTAACGAGATAGACAGTATTAAAAAACTTGCCAGAGAGAGAGAGAAATGATAAGTTCTGTGATGATTATCTTAAAGCATATAAGCAAAGTGACATATAAATGATTACTAATCCACTGTGCAGGGTTAGCATAGTTCTATGAACTGATAAATCTGAAGACAACTATCTCAGTTACCAGTGTGAACTAAAGTACCCTACATATCCAAAGATATAAATGGAAACAAAGGTAAAAACCGTCAACAAATTTTCCTAAAGCAGAAGATGCAAGGTGATTGCAAGGCAATAGAAATAATCTGATTTGTAATTTATTAGATACAGCATGTAGAAACGTAAATTAACACTGTTTAACAAATTAAAGCAAGGAAATATAATGAAACATGCATTACGCACATCTATAATATCCAGCTCACTGTAGGTAGCTTTTTGAGGTATTTCTCTAGGCCCTCAAATACAGAGGAGCAGCCAGCTTCTTAAGGAAATTAAAGTATGGAGAAGAAAGAAAAAAGATCCTCAAGGAAAGAGGAAGGATGGGAAGAAGTTTGGATTTTGTTCCTAGGTCTCTAGGAACATTTAGTGCAATAGACTGAGTCAAGGGATTCTCTTTCCTCTTGGCCTGTTCTTTGCATGGACACATTACACCTTGCCACTTGCCTCAAAATTACTACCTCCTCCCACTGGTTCTTAAGCATCTTGAGGAGTCTGGACAGACTCTGGGCAAAACTGAAAAACTGATTGTTTTCAGTCCTCCTAACTGCCTTTCAGATTTCACATATTTTTCCTCTAGGCAATTTCCTTCTCATCCATGCTCTCAGACTTTACCATAACCTGGTGGTCCAACGCCTTTCATCTCAGTACCCTGCCCAAGACTGCTGTAACTAAAACTACAGTCCCTCCTCAGTAGCCGCAGGGGATTGGTTCCAGAACCCTCCCTGATACCAAAATCTGCAGATGCTCAAGTCCCACAGTCGGCCTCCATATCTGCGGAATCCTCTCTGCAGATTTAACCAACCGCAGGTATAAACATAGTACAGTCAACCCTTAAACAACTAGGGTTTGAACTGCACAGGTCCACATAGACAGGGTTTTTTTTCAATAAATACACAGTCGGTCCTCTGTATCAGTGGATGCGGAATCCATGGAGGGAATTCCAGAGGAAGATCTCAATATTAATATTTTTGCATTTATAAGTGCAACAGTTTTACAAAGATTTAAAAATAGAAGTAGTACACATTTGCACTTTTTCTTTCTTCACATTGCATTGCTCTGTTCTTGTTTATCAAATACATTTCTTCAAATATTTCAAACATTTTCTTCTGTTTTGTCTATTCATTCAAAATTAACAGGACCTTAAATATATGGTGATTGCTCTAGGCTCTGAAACACTTCTGATGTAGTCTAGGCTGAAGCACAATTTTCCTTCAAATCTCATATTGAGGTGAATAGGCCTCTCTGTCTCTGGATTGTCAATTTGGTAGATTATCTGCCCTAAAATTTCCATTGGGGTCAAATTCTCCTTTGGACTCCAAAAGGACTTCTGCTTCCCCTGCCCCAGTTACCTCCCTTTTCATCCTCATCCTATACCCTCTCCCCTCTCCCCCGCAGTTTGGGTGATGTATACTTAGACAGTATGCACTATTTCAGTATCTGACTGAATTTGGAGTGAATCTGCTATATAACACATATTTTTCACATTCAAAAACTGCACACTCTTTCCTTGTATTCTTTTCCCTTCTCCTGGTGCTTTCTCCATTTGTGAAAATAACTTAGGGTTACTTGTGCAGGCTTATTTAGTGAAAATTTCTAAATGTTGAGAACTAAAATGAAGGGAAAAAATACCTGTTTATCATGTGACATGAAATCATCTATTTCCATAGTCCTGGTGTTATATAACTTTCCTGATAAATGCACCGAATATGTACAGTGGCGATGCAATCCACAAGCCTGGCAGGAACAGTTCTCAGGATTCCTCAAATGGATACTTACATTAGAATAATTTTCTACTCGCTCCTGAAAATAATTTCAAAATGTAATGAAGGTTTAAAGGATAAGAAAAACAACAATAAAATAAAACATAAAAAGAGCCCAACCAAATTAAAATCAAGGTTAGAAATCACAATGATAGGGCAAGATGTAAGAGCAAAACACACTGGTATTTCTTACTTTAGTACTGAGCACAAGATATATTTAAATTTTAAAAGTGAATTTATAATTTAGGCTAGTAAATGAAAAGAAACCAGATTAGGAAAAAAATTAGTTTCATAATGCTCAAACTTCTGTTACTATTAAGCAGCGCTTTTCACAGGTTTTGATTTACTTCTTTTCCCTCTTCTCATCTCCAGATATAATAGTTAGTTAAAATAGGAAAGAATGAGCAGAAAAAATTCAGAATAATATAATAAAATGATTAAATTCATTTAGGTTAGTAAAAAATTAAGAAAAAACAAGATCACATTCAGTCTCCATTGTATGAATTATATTTTCCACAAAATAGCCCAGAAATAATTTAATTCTCCTATGGTTTCTTACTAAAGTACTAGGAAAATAAACAAGTTTGAACTAGGATTTCTAGGTTGCCAGTATTGCTATGGCCAGTCTAATAGGTGAGTTAACAATGAGTAAACAAACTGAGAAAATATTTGGTATTCATAAATAAGCTTTATTAAGCTGTGAAATTACTTGTGCTTGAGTAGTTTTGCTTACGCTCTAGACCTGTGCTAGATACTACTACTGTAATTAGTAGCGTGGATCAGTTTACCACAGTATTTGAACTGCACACAATGAGCATATTAGCAGGGTCACTAAACTGCATTCTCTATCAGCCTGACAGTAATTAAGTATCCAATATAGTTTCCTTTTTACATTGTGTGATTCACAAAGACATTGTCTTTTGTCTGCTTTTTACTGTTTCTCATATTTCATGGTACTTCATGACACATGTCACTTATAGGCTGACATTCAGAGTGAACAGATGACTAACCATCTTCCCTTCCTGCTTCTCTGGTATTCACAGAAGCACATGCTGAGATGAAAGGTCTATCAGCTTGGTTCTCTGAGTGACTACAATTAACAGAGCACCCTTATTGACTCACATTGGACATATAAGTGAAAAATAAACTTTGTTGGGTTAAGCTATTGAGATTTTCGTTGCTGGTTTACTTTGTTTGTCACATTATTTATTTTTTGCAGCATAACCTAGCTTATCCTGACCAAGATCGTACTGAATCATCTCTGTCTCTAAATTTTTAAGCTAATATTTTCTTGTATATTACAGTTATTATTTCAACACTGGGTTATTCAAACTCAACATAACATACCATAGTATGGTAAAGCATACTATAGCAGAATGGATGGGCTTTGAAGTCTGAGAAACCCTACCCCTAAGGTTTCTAGGTTCAAATATTGGCCTGCCTGGCTAATTACTAGCTGTGTAACCTTATGTTACTCAATTTTTCTGAGTCACAATTTTCTCATCTCTAAAATGGAGGAAATAATAGTACATTCCTTGAGGAGTTACTCTAAAGATCAAATAAGATACCTTACTTTGCATATCAGTTACTTGGGAAAATTAAATGATCAATATGCTATTGTTTTATTAAAGACAAAAATATATATACCACATCCTAAGAGCTATGCTATGTGCTTTACCTTAAAAGTAAATAAATATTTTCTCTATCTGAGGAATAAACTGGAATTTACAAAAGTTAAAAAATCACCCAAAGTCAAAAAGATATATATGGTGGCCCTAAACTCAAGCTATCCTCCAAATTGAAGTCTTTTAATTCTTTTTTTTAATAATCCCATAACTGTCCTTAAACCTAATCCATCTGTGGCTAATTTATCATCAGGTAATTCAAGGCCAAACAGGCCTTGGATGAAGCCAAATCTCCTGACATAAATGAGGTAGAGTAGCTAATGATTTAAGTGCTAGAAGGACTATAAGGAACTTGAACTTCTACTATCTTGCCATTTTCCTCTTGCTAATTATTAGAAGCTACAACGTTAGAAGTAGGGAGGAAGAAAAGACTTAAAAATCATATAGTACAGCCTCTACTATTAGAGATCATAAAATAGAAATCTAGGTGATAACATGAAATCAAATATATCTTATAAATTAAAAAGATGTTTCCCCCAAATTAGTAGAACTACAAAATCTTAAGGTGGAGAAGGATGTCAAAGACTACATAGGTCAGTGCTTCCCTAATTAAGTTATGGGAACCAATATCCTAGAAGGTAATAATAGGTATTTCATGAAAACAAGCCTCATAGTAAAACACAAATTTGGAAAGTATTATATTCTACATTGCCCTCTTGAAGATTTACAGTATAAATTCACACATTAATGCTCCTTGAAAGTCCTCCAGTTAAGTTAACCCTACTGTTTCTCAACCTTCTTTAACAATGAAACTCTCTTTTCTGAAATAATTAACATCCTGTGAGACAATCTCCTCATTTTAACAGATGGGCTAAGCCTTAGAGATGTTCTAAATTTACCATTTAGGACTACTTAATTATTGGACAGATATAACAAGTGTGAAAGACTAAAACAATTATAGCCTTTAGAAGAGATGAGAAACAACAAGCTGATTATTTAACAAAGAAAATTGTTAATAATTTAGAAGATTATTCAGTGTGACTGGTTATTGAAGGACTGGAGTGGGGAGGTCTCCCACTCCAACCCCACCCCATCCCCCGACCAGAGATTCAAAAACAAATAAAACTGTATACCTTATATTGCTCTTTCCAACGACTTCTAGAGACTAAGTTCTCTAGACGAGGCTGAACAAAGCGGTTATCCAAATAATGAAGAGATGTCAACATATCTTGTGCATATGATTTTTGCCTGGCGCCATCTGTTCAGGGGAATAATAACAACAACAACAAAACCAAGCACTTTGCCCGTATAAAATATTTAAATAATTGCATAAAGATTTCTTCCCATAGTTTTAAGAAGATAACTTGCTTGGTTGGTTAGAAACATTTTAAATTTAAAAAAATTAATGAAGTTAAAGAAAATCCTTCCATCAGAGCATTAGGGAAAGGAAGGAGCCACACAGGGTCTCTAATTGTTCCTTGAACACATCAAACTTACTCTTTTCTAAGGGTCTTTACACTTGCTGTGCTCTCTGCTAGATCCATGCATTGCTTCCTCCCTCACTTCATTCAGGTTTCTGTTCAAAAGATACCACTTGGGAGACCTTCTTTGACCAATCTAACTAACACAGAGTTTCCTTTCCTTTATCACTCTTGATTTCCTTATCTTATTTTATATTTTTTCAAGAATTAATCCCTTAGGTGAAATCATATCATGTTATATATTTGTTTACTCATTGCTGTCTCTCCCATTAGACTTTACGCAACATGAGGCAAGAATCTTCCATGTCATAGTCATTGCCATATTCCTAGCCCTCAAATAATGCCCGGCCCTTAGTAGGCACTCAACAAATATTTGTTCAATAAAGTCTGAATGAAATCTTACTCTGGAACTTTGGTAGACATTCAGCACAACATATTTACTGTCTTTATTAAGAGTCAGATTCCGTGCTAGATACAAGGGGTGTGTATATAGAAAGTATGGTTCTTCTCACACTCTTGAAAGGGAGGAAAGCAAAAATACATTTTCAATATATATGAAAAGTGCATATACATCAGTGCCACCATACTCAGGATAATGATAGCACAAATGAGGGAGTGACAATATTATTTGAATGGGTCACAGATAGCTTTCATAGTGGAAATGATTTCATACTCACTTAGAAAATCTAAGGTAGGAAGGGATTATACTCTAACGAGAAACAACGAGGCACAAAAGCATAAAAAAGCATATAACTTTTGGTGAAATTCAAGGAGCTTAGCGCTTAGGCTGGGACAACACATGGGTGTTGAATTACCCTGCTGTTTAATTAGTATATGTCCTGTATCCTCAAGTTCACTGTGAACTCTCAAAGGGCAGGGAAACTATTTCTATTGTACTTTCACATATCACAAATAATAAACACTAACAAGTTTTTCATGTGAATGGACTTTTGGTGTAGTTGATACTAGAGGGAACAACTGGAGGGCCTTAAGATTGGGTCTCTGTGGTTTTGTTTATACACACACACACATATACACATATAGAACAATGAGGCTGCTTAAAAATTGGGAAAAAAAAAAAACCTGATTCTTCCATTCATATTATTAACTTACCATATAATGTTCCCAGAAAAGATTTATCTAGAGCATTGATCAGAAGAGCCTTCACAACTCTTTCAAAGTGAGTATAGTGGTCACTAAAAGAATCTGAAATTAAGTTAAAATAAATATTAGAATCCAACAGACAAAACAATTCCCTAAATACAATGGGTTCCTTTCTCCAAGGCTAAGAAATTAAGAAATAGGAGAAATTGCTTAATTATCCTAATTTTATAGCTGGCTCAGTGACTTGTCTAGTCACTGAGAATGAAGATGAAAAGAGAGAGGATGAAAAACTTCCCAAAGATCATATAGTTAGTAAGTGTTGGAACCAAGGCTGGAACAGACACTCTGACTCTAGATTTCATGCTACAATCCCCTACATAGATGTTGTTCCGCATGGTAGTTAGATTTGATACTTTCATACTTCAGAACATGGGATTTTAGACGTGAATGGGAAATTGGAGAAAATAAAATTCAAATCCTTCAAGACTAGTAAAAATGACTCAATGATGAAATAACTTATTACACAACTAGATAGAGGCAGAGTCAGGAATAGAGCTCAGACCTCCCCCAGAGCTTTTCTCATCGCTTTAATGCCTATATTGGATGGGCTTCTGTGGAATACCCTAGAAATATTGTTTATAACTTTTCTCCATGATTATAAAAAATTTCAAAAGGATACAGGAGAAAATAAACAATATTCATATTTACGAATAACTTGACTTTTTCAAGGTAGCTAATCACCTTCCCAACACCCAATCATTGGATAGTTTGGTCATTCTGTTGATTTTCTGTGCATCCTTCATCATGTATTTCATATATATGCTAAGATTTTGTTTCAGCCCCATCTGCCCTTCCTTTCCTACTGATCTGGCTGTCATTCTCACATCAGTACTATATTGCTTTACTTATTGCAATTTTATGATTACTTTTTATATCTGGTGGGGCAAGTCCTTCCACTTTATTTTTTGTTTTCAAATGTTATTTATTCTCATGTATTTGTTCTTTCAAGAGAACTTTAGGATTGTGTTTGCAAAGCTGAATCAAAACATTAATTTCAGAAGATATAACCTCTTGTATGATTTATTACCTCCCAGAAACATGCTTATCTCTTCTTTTACTCACATTTCCTTTCCTATTCCACAGTAAATTTTATTCTTGTACCTGTAAAGTCATGCTTTTCTTCTTAAGATTAGGCCTAGTAATAATTTTGTTCACTAGTGTAAATGGAATTTTCCCTCATTATATCTTCTAAATTATTGACAGCATATAAGAAAACTACTAAGTTTTACATATTTATTATGCATCTGGCATTTTTTGAGATGTTTTTCTAAGGAAAATGAGCTTCCTGGAACATTATAGAGCTGGTGAGAGAGATACTGTTTGGGAATTCCTGGGCACTGACTGCTTTCTCCCCTACCCTGAGGAGGATGTGGTCTTGCTAGTGCTAAGTTTATTTCAAAAACCAAGAGAATGTTTATAAATATTCTCTTATTAGAGAATAGAAGCACATGGACTGTTGGTGTACTTTCTTCTGAAATGGAGATGTAAGCCCAGTGTAAGAGGGCAGGGGCAGAGCAAGAAATGGGCCCCTTTTTCTACTCCAACAGGTGCCTCCCACTCACATAGAGAAAAAAGAACTTAAGAAAAATATGGAAATAGATGCTGCATCTACTCCTACTCTCAATATATTCATATCCTTTCTCTTAACTTCTGTATCTTTGGTTAAATAAGTCAGAAACTGATAGCTTGTGTATAATCATATTATGTTCAATAATGTCTTTTCCTTTTCAATAGTTATATTTCTTGTTTTACTTTCACATCTGTTGCATTGCTGAAAACATCTAGAACAAAGTAGGAAATATTTTTGTCCTGTTCTTTATTTTAAAGAGAATACCTCTAGTGCTTCATTATGATGTTGGATCTTGGTTTAAAATATTCTTTGTTATGTAAAGGACATATGCTCATATAACTATTCATAAGACTTTTTGGAAAACTAGATATGGGCATTGAATGTTATCAAATGCCTTTTTAGAATCTATTGAAATTATTTTTTCTCTTTTGACATATGCAACACATTAATATGGCACCTAATATTAAACAATTTTTATAGTTCTAAAAAGAATAGTTAGAGGACTTTTTCTTTACTCTTGTAATTACAAAAATACTTCCTTCATATGCCTGTTTGAAAATATTTTTCATCAACTTAGGATGTAAGCCTCTTTAATCTGCATAAACAGGTGTGTTTGGCAACTCAAAAATATTTTCTTCTATGATACCTTTGAATTCACATCTCCATGTGTCTTTATATCCAGAAACATGGTAAGCCTCTGAACACATTCAAATCTTTTATATATCTCACTAAGGTTATGTAATTTTCTTCCTTTAGATTTCCATTTGTTCTGTATTCCCCCCCCACAGGAATTTGTGAAATAGGGTCTTCATTTCTATTCCTTTATGTATTATCTCCTCCTTTAGAAATGTTTTCTCTCTCTATGCTAGAAGCTTCTAGGGTTTAACCTACATACAATTGATGAGATTTTCTGTACTGTTAATTCTGCTCTCTACTGCTTTCAATATAGATTTTATTTCTAACTTTATATTTTTCATTTCTGGCAGTGTATCCTTAACTACCTCCCTTTCACCTCAAATTGTTCTCTCCTCATGACTATTTCTTTTTCATAGATTGCAAAGCAAATGCTTTGTACAATTTTCTTCTGTTTCCTTTAATGAAACATTTTTTCATGGGCATTTTCTTCCCGAGTCTTCAGGGCAGGGTTACTTTTCCCTTGTGCCATATGATTTCACTGGTACTTTTTATTTATCCTAAAACAAGAGGAGGAGTTCTCGAGAGGATTTAATATTTAACATAAATTGTTGTGAGACTGCTCTTAGTCATACCATGCATGTTGATAGAATGATTCTGTTTAATTGCTAGGTGGAGACTAAGTTAATGTTCACTCAATCTAATTTCCAGTATTCTAGCAAGCATTTTTCTAGCAAGGCACTAGTAGACTGAGATGTACTTTTATAATGTACTACTTGGTTCTCTGTCACTCTGAACATATGATAGAGTACTGGAAAAATAATATAATCTTTAGTATCTACAAATCTGAAGGTGTTCCTATCTCTCTACCCGTGTATAACATTATTACCATGTGAACTATATAGATCTGCAATACAACAAATCATTGCTAGTCCATCCCTCTACTTTCTTTGATATCTTTTCTGGGAGTTGCAGTCTCAGAATAAATATGAATAAATAATAATAGGGATTGATGAGAAGGGAAAAAGACTGTCTTTTAAGTGCTTCAACCATGTAGCAGGAGGCAAACTATTCTATTTTAAGGTGTTACAAATGTGTCTGTCTTTCAGAGCCAAATGGCAGATAGCAAGGAAGTAACAAAATGTCTTCCTACAGTAGAACTGTTCTCTTCAAAAAGGTAAAATTGCATATGCCACTGATTGCGAGTCTCAAGTGAGTGCTGAATTTGGAGTTCTGAACATTTCTCCCAAATTCTGATCACATGTTGAATATGAGTAGTTGTCACTGTTCTTATAGAAGTTGGGGATGGGGGGAGAATGAATCTGGGAATACTAGCCTAATTACAACCTAACCCAGGCCACAGAAGGGTGTTCACTATTCATCATATAGATTATTGCTTTAACAAGAAAATGTATGTTGATTTTCAAATGTAAGAATTGATTTATAGCAACTTTTAGAACATAATCCCTTGGCATATCAAAAACTGCCTTATTTAGCTTCATTTATTATATTCTTAAATGGCATAATCATTGTTACCTATTAAAAACATTAATCAAATCATAAATTATCACATAAAAATATGTGGGTTTTTTTTCCTCTGACGTATTAATAAATCTGGTCATGCCTAACATTTTTGTTTCTTAAACTATAAGACCAAGGAGCCTTCAGTCAATATGTTTATCTTAATCATCCATCCATCCAACTAATAAGTTCTTATAATGTGTCACCAAGTCTAATGTGTATTAGGATTACAAAGAGAAGTGAAGCTGATTAACGATTTAAGTAATTTTTTGGGAAGTAGGGATGCTCATTTGGATTTCTTTACTGAGCTTTACTTTTTCACATACCATAAAATTCACTCTTGGGTGCACAGTTCTGTAACCAAAACACGAAGTTGTGTAACCACCATGACAATCAAAAAAACAAGTTCTACCACCAGCCCAAAACTCCCTTATGCTCCCTCTCAATCATTTAGTTTTGCACATATTGAGTCTGAGATGTCTGAAAGACACCCTGATGACAAGGTTCAATAAAAAGATTTAAAAATTGGGCCTTAAGACTATGGAGAAATCTGTGCTGGAAATAAAAGTCTGGGAATTTCCCCACAGATTGGGCTGAAGTTATGGGGCAGAGACTGCCTGAAGCACAAGCAAAATGAAGGTAGTTTGAGGATGGAACCTTTAGAAACATCGATATTTACATGGCAAATGGAAAAAGAGGAAAGCAATATTATAAAGGGGAATGCAAGAAGCGAAAAAGAGAACTTTGAAAGTGAGAGTTGTCAATGGTTAGTGGCAAAGCACACAGCAGTATCAGGTTAACATAAGAACCAAAGCGCATCTTGGCAACTAAAAAGTTATCACTAACTTTGGTGACAGCAATTTCACTGGATCGATGGGTATAATAGTCTAAGCACAAAGCTTTGCAGAGTTACTAGGAGACTTGAACAAAAAGATAAGATTTAGAATGGTGGCTAATAGAACATGCCAACTCAAGGGAGGAAAGGCATTAATATGGTTACAAGTTGAGAAAAGAGAGCTTGTAAGGATAGAGCCAGAAGGAGAAGCTTCAATTAAGAACACGTAAGATAAAATGTATTGCATAGAAAATGAGGTACATCTCCTTCTAAGGTGGAGATGCTCAATAGTAAAAGCAAGCACAGAACTTGATATTTACCCAAATGAGTTGGAAACTTATGTCCATAGATATATTTGCACACAAACATTTATAGCAGCTTTATTCATAATTGCCAAAACTTGGGAGCAACCAACATGTCCCTCAGCAGGTGAATGGATAAACAAACTGTGGTACATCCATGCAGTGGAATATTATTCAGTGATAAAAAGAAATGAGCTATCATGCACATTAAGACATGGAGGAAACTTAAAGTTATTAGGTGAAATATGCCAACCTGAAAAGGCTACATGCTGTATGACTCCAACTATAAAACATTCTGGCAAAGGGAAAACTATGGAGACATTTCAAAGGTCAGTGGTTGATAAGGGTTCTGGGGTGGGAGGGAGGGAGGGATGAGTAGGTGGTGAACAAGGCATTTTTAGGAGAGTGAAACTGTTCTGATATTGTAATGGTGGATACCTGTTGCATCATTATACATTTCTCAAACCCATGGAATGTACAACACAAAGAGTAAGCCCCGACACAAACTATGAACTACAGTTAATAATGTATTCATATTGGCTCATCGATTGCACCAGATATACCAAACTAATCCAAGATGTTAATAACAGGGAAACTCTGAATGAGGGGTTATATAGGAACTCTCTGTACTTTCTACTCAACTTTTCAGTAAATCTAAAACCTCCCTTAAAAAAACAAAAGTAAGCATAAAAGTGTAGGATAGAGAAGAAAGTTAAAATAGTTCCCATGTGGTGGACTTTTATTTTCATTAATTAACAGGAGTGTTTATGAGTGGGTATCTCTCAGTAAATGTTCTATCACATTCTAGATATTAATATCCAGAATGATGGGACACTTCCTAATTGAGTTTTCCTGGGATTCAAATGTCCAGATGGCAGGTGAACCAGTGCCTACTGACATAAGGAAAACAGTCATTAACTTTCAATACACAGATGCTTATCACTGGCATTTCTGTAACTGATAAATTTCTTGAAATTTGATTCATACCTAAATCTACTAATTTATCTAAATCATGGTATCTAATTTGAACCATATTACACTTAATTTTAGTAAATATGTCCTTTAATTTTTTGGGGAAAAAATGCATTCTTGAAGAAAAAAAATGTTTTCATCCAACAGAGTTGTACCAGAGTTGTAAAACATCATAAAAAGTATTTAAATTTATGTACAACTATAGGGATCAGAACAATAATACATATTTAAAGACATCCTAAATTTTCAGGGCCCTATTATTTATATTTTCATTGTGTGAAAATATAAAAGATTCTAATTTCCTGATAGGTTTCACTGAGTTTCACTTCAAAAGATCAGATAACACCTGTGGTTCTCAAAGTGTGATCTGTAGACCCCTGGAAGTCTCCTAGTCCATTTAAGGGGATCAGTGAGGTCAAAGCAATAACACTAAGATAATTATCTGCTGTTTCACCATGTTGACATTTTCAATGATGTTGCAAAAGTAACTATGGATAAGGCAGCTGACCCCTTAACATGAATCATGGCTATAGAACCAAACTACTAGTAATCATTATAATCATTCCTATGCATTCAGTAAAAAACCTACTTTCACTTAAGAATGTCCTTGATGAAGCAGTAAAAATTATTACTTTTATTAAATCTTGAATCTTGAGGATACACCTTTTTTGTATTCAGTGAGATGAAATGGGAAGGATGGATAAAGCACTTGTGCTGCATATCAAGTGTAATATCGTACTTTGAGAAAAAACTGAGTTGGGAGTTAAAAAAGCCTCATTTGTCAGGTTTACTTGAAACACCATGTTTACTTGAGAGAACTATTGACCAACTATGTTATTCAGGCATTTGTCAAATATTTTGTCAAAAATGAGCAAAGAGAAACTGTCATTTCAAGAACTCACAGTATTTGTACCAAAGATAAAAAACAGATTTTTGAGTAGAAATTAGAATTTTGAAAAACTTGTATTTGTTACTATGAGCTTGACAACTTCCCAATACCTAAAGAATTTTCTGATGAGATTGGTGGTGATATTAATGAATGTGATTTCTTAAATACTGTATAATGAAATGTGTCAAAATATGGAAGAGTTACATAACCCAGTGAACCAATATTTTCCAAATGATCAGTGCATGATGTTACAAAATCATGCATGGGTAAAAGATCCATTCAAATTACAAGACAGACCAATGGAATGTAATGTAAGTACTAAAAGTTCATTCATATGCTTTCACATTCTATACTGCAAACTAACCTTTAAGAAACTACCACTTGTTCAATTTTGGTGTGGTGTCAAATGAGAATATCCACAATTATTTTAAAAATGCTTTAAAAACAATCCTCCCTTTTCCAGCTACCTATCTGTGTGAAACAAAATTGCTTTCATCTAATATCACAAAATATCACAACAGACTGAATGCAAAAGCCGATATAAGAACCCAGCTGCCTTCTGTTAAGCTAGACGTTAAATATATTTATTAAAATGTAAAACAATGCCATTCTTCTCATTTTTTTGAAAAATAGTTATTTTTCAGAAAAATGTTATCTAACGAGCTTATCACATTACACGAGTTATTTTATGTCATTTAATTAATAGATATATTTTAAATTTCTCTTTTGTATTTCTACAATGGTAAATGTTGATAGATATAACCCACAGAAACAAAAGCTCTTTGGGGTCCTCAATTATTTTTAAGAGTGTAAAGGGTTCTCAAAACCACTAAAATAAACTATTATTAGACAAATTTACCTGAAAATGAAACCACAGTTCCTAATCAATGATTTAGAACATGATAGTAAAAGGCTGATTTGATACTTAGTATAATATCATGATTAGAACAAGTCATAAAACATTCTCTTGATATTTAACTTACAAAGAGAATTCTGCTTTACTAATTTCAGTTTTTCTCCTCGTTGGCTTTTATTCTCTTCATCACCCTCCTCATCTTGCACTACAAAGTCATCAATAACATAATCATCTCCATCTTCATCATATTCATAATCATCTTCCTCCTCCCCCTCCTCCTCATCATCATTTTCATCACTGCTTGGGCAGGATTTCTTTTCAGAGTCCTAATTAAATTAAAACATACCTTTTAGTATTTTTAGTAAAGTGTACCTTTAAAAAACTGTCAGTATGGGGCTTCCCTGGTGGCGCAGTGGTTGAGAATCTGCCTGCCGATGCAAGGGACACGGGTTTGTGCCCCGGTCCGGGAGGATCCCACATGCCGCGGAGTGGCTGGGCCCGTGAGCCATGGCCGCTGAGCCTGCGCGTCCAGAGCCTGTGCTCCGCAGCGGGAGAGGCCACAACAGTGAGAGGCCCGCGTACCGCAAAAAAAAAAAAACTGTCAGTGTGGATGTGAAATTAAAAGATTAAATCCGAAATAAAAAACTGATTTGTAGAAATTAATTTTATATTTTAAGGTTAAAAAAAATCTTATGTTAAATGTTGAACTTTTGAAATTAGGAAGAAGATAATATACCCTGGTAAGTGAAATAAAATGTTTAAAATCGACATTAAGATTATAAGTAGAAATTAAAAACAGGAAAGACCAAATTTTAAAGAAGTCTTTCAATTTTAAAAAAGAGTGAAAGAATGAGGCTCATAAAAAATATTATTAGATACAATACTGCAATCAAACATGTTCAAGGAAACTTGACTAAAAAATAAATTTTAGAATTATTGTGAAATAGAACAGACTCAGGCCCTTTGATTTTTATAAAATACTTAAATAAAAAGTTAAAACCAGTAACAAAACCAATAAAATATAACACACCTCAAAATCTCTACTACTACTGCGTCTCTGACGAGATCTCTGTTTTGAGAGGTCTTGCAGTTTCTGGAGCTGTTCTCGCTTTCTTGCGGCTAAAGTTTTTTCAGGTTCTTTTTGCTCCATCTCCACTGAAGAACATTCATCTTCAACCACTCTACGTGGATGTTTAACTCCCACTTTTCTAACAAGGATATCACTGTCGTCACTTTCATCACTGTCATACATCACAGAGGAGATCCTTTTTCTCTTCCCTCGCTTGATGTGTTCTTCTTCTAAATCCTCCTCTGTTATTTGTCCAGAGTGTTTGTTGAGATCATCTTCCTCTTGACCTGAATGCTTTTCATGATCTGGTAAGTCAATACTTCCATGTTTGGTTTTGTTCTTTTCTTCTTCATATGTTGAACTGTTGCCAGTGTTAATGAGATGCTTACTATTGTTTCCTTCACTTTCAACTTTAATTAATTTAAGCTCTCTTTCATTTTCTGGCTTCTTATTACTATCAAGCCCCTCGTTACTATCAGGTTCTTCATCACTGTCAACACTTTCATTATTGTCAACACTTTCATCACTATCAAGCTCCTCATCGCTTTCAAGCTCATCATCACTATCACATAATTGTGAGAGACTACTTCTTTTAGTCCGCCTCCAATCCACTCGAGATTTCTGTTCACATTCTTGAGTTTTAGAATTTTTCCTTGTTTCATGTCTTCTAATATGTACCATTTTCACTTAAGCTTCTACAAAATAAAGTTATTAGGAATATAATAATGATAACCAGATTACAACAATGAATGCATTTATGGTACAAACTATATTTATTTGGTGTTATTAAATGGTTCACAAAGGTAAAATCACATGAAATATCTGAGTGAAGATGGTTGCATAATTTGCATAACAAATTATGGAACAAATAATTTATTTAACATCTATGAAATCATCATATGAACATCTATTCTGAATTATGTTGTATGTTGTGCTGATAGAGGTTCATAATTAAGAAAAATGCAAGGTAGTATTCATTTAGTACCAAATGAGTGATAAAAAAATAACTGCAATAAAAGTGTAAAGATGCAGGAAGATCAGAACAGCAAGTGTTTCACTGAAAATTTTATTCAACAGATATGATCTGATAGACCGCTGAAGAATTGATTAAATTTGAACAGAAAGAATGAAAGACAAAGGGATTTCAGGAAAAAATGATAAAGTCAAAACTTTGGCACTGAGAATGAACATGACATGTTTAGTAACAAGTGTGACCAAAAAGGTGTGAAAAAAGGCTTTATGCTGGAAAAAAGACACCAGTATAGAAAGGTAGGGTGGAATTACAGAATGATTCCTCCCATAAGCAAAGAAGGATTCTGAATAGAGAAATTACATGAATTATAACATAAAAGTTAAACATTTATATGAAGAAAGTTATAAAGTACTAAGTGACATAAAATAGATAACAGTGCAAAATTGAGTGATAACTTATCTACCAAGATTTCAGCCTCCATATATTTTAGTAAAATGGCAATGGCTTTAATCCATTAAAAGTTAAAGATACAATATAATCCAATAGAAAACTTACTAACAATCCAATAACATAGGTGAAAAAACAAAAAAGTTTCATGGCGAAGCAGAGCATGGTACTGGGAAGGAAAACAAATGATCTAAGTTCCTGATTCAGAAAAGGGTGAACACCATCAAAATTATCACAAGTATACAGTAAAAGAACAATTAGAGACAATTTAACTAGAAAAACGGTAACATATATATACTTCTGTGGTTGCTAAGGAAAATAAAAATATGATCACAGTGCAATGAGACTGACCTCATAATACACATATAAGAACTTATGTATTCAACTGAGTGCTGTCTCCTTCAAAGAAATCACATTATGAGGTTGATTGTTCCAATATTTCCATAATGGCACAGAATATTCTGGAGATTTTCTATTTTATTTTCAAAAAATATGAAAATAATCACACTTCATGTTTTATACCAAAGAGACATTTAAATATCCACTTTATTCACTTGTCTTAGTTATAAGGGACTGTTACCAGCTTCCAGAAATGAAAGGCAATTTGAAAAGATGAAGATTACTATTAAAGATATTTTTTAAATGTGCTGCAAACTCTGATGGTAATTCCAAAACTAGAACGCCAGAAATTTTTTGAGCAATGGCAGTGTTACTGAACCCAGTTTATAGCTTCCCAAGATGATTATCTTTTTAGTTGGGGGGGAGATACCATCCATTTCATTGCACAAATTCTGTTATGTTTATAAGGCAATGTGACTGCTTCTATAATGGTAACAACTCATATAAAATCAGAACAACAACAGTTGCTAAGATTATACACAAGAAATTATAATGTAGGCGACCTTATGACAGTAACTGCTACAAGATACCTTCAGCACTGTAACAGCGATCTACCAAATCCTAGTCCATAGACCAAATATTCTGCTATTTGAAATTACACTTAGGTTGCATTTTACAGAAGGTTTATATTAAAATCAGCAAAGAATAAAACTGTGTATGGTCAAAATTACTCTTTTTAAAGATCTCTATATTACTCTTCAAAGTATGGATTATTGTATACCATACTGCTGCAAAATATGTCCCCCCAGTTTCTCTTTCAGGTTTTAAACAGATTACTGTTCTTTTTCTTTTTATTAAACACCAGATAAACTAGGCAGGTTATATTTTGAAGCCATATAATACAAAGAAGTATTTTTTAAGCATATATAGTTATAAATTTGCATAAGCTAACTGTGCATGTGCTTTACACTACAATAGGAAGGTAAGGCTTTTTTATAAATCTGTCTGAATTGGGAGAAATAATGAAAACAAGTTTATGAAAACAAAAGACAGATATGGCCTCAGCAGATACACTAAAGTATGGACAGGAGGAATATTAAAGTGAAAGATGATTTTATTAGTACTCAAAAGCAGTTTCATACACACTAGATGATTATCTTACAAAACTATACCATGTGCAAAAGACAGTTATTTCAAGAGGTGATTCCTATGACAATAATAGAAATGATTAAGAATGTCACACTATTCAAATACCTATGACTGCACAGAGTTAAGCTATTAAAAAACACTATATGTATAGTAATTTTCAGTGCATTTTCAAATATATTTTAAAATCCTGACAATGATCCTAAAAGGAAGATACTGTCTATCTTCATTTATAAAAATCAAAGCCAAGAACGTAGAGTTTAAATGACTTACCGAAGATCACACAGCTCGTTAGTGACAAAGCAGGGATTAGAAACCAGATCTCCTGATTCCCCATCCAGTGCTACACAATGACTGCTGCCAATATTACATTTGTACAAGGTAGGAAAAGTTATGCCTTCAAAAAGTCATTATTTTATCTCTCATTCAGGCTAAATTTTAGTTTCTGAAAATAATCATTAAAATAGTTTGACAAAGAGTTTACAAACATGCTTTTTAAATTATGTAACTGAATTTTAGTGCACATGAATTAGGCCAGAAACTTCTGTAAATTATTTATCTAACAGGCAAGAAAAGAATGTGCAAGAGAGATGAAAATTTGCAGACTTCCCTCTACCACCTTACTGATGACACTGACCACAAAATTTAAGGGATTCCCCACTGAGTCAAAAAGTAAAGATTCCAAAGAAAGGCAGTCTCTGATGAGAAAAAAATTATTTTGGAAAGCTGCAGTATTGAATGTTTGAGGAGGCAAATTTTATGTAAACAAATCAAATTTCATTTGGCCAACTGCCAAATTTCCAGGATGTCTCATATTTCAAAATTGCTGTTTATATCAATAACGTCAAAAAATCTGTCATTGAAAAGGAAGATAATTTGATTATGGTTGGCTCTTCTTTTTAAGTGTGGATACTTTTACTGTGTGAGCTGGGGAGGGAAGAAGGATGACAGGGAAAAGGTGAGTGAACTGAACCTGAAGAGAGAAATGAGAAGATAGAGCCAGGCTGATGGGTAAGACATCTCTTGATCATTATAATTCATTTAGAAAATAATCCATGCAAATGGATGTAATTTCTATATATGCTGAGTATACACTCAATTTTTTGAAATGAAAGTTTTATCAAGCTTCTTTAATGATACCTTACCTTTAGGCAAAGAGAAAAACAGGGACTCCACACAGAGAGCATTAAATAAGTGAATGAAGATGATCAATACTATCACATCTTTGTGTTTCATGGTTAAAATCATGTAAATAGCACATACTATCCTGTCCGCCAAAGAATGTCAAAGTGATAACCCATAAGGCTTGTGTTCTTTCTCTAGCATGGTAACTCTACAACTAAAAAGGGTACTTTGATGCCACCTGAATTTCTCATCAGAAGAAATATCCTTTATTCTAAAGTTTGAGGTTAATTCATCAAGAAAAGATTCATTCTAGGAATCATCGACTTGCCCTATGAACAATGTAGGTGGTAGTTTACACTTAAAAATTTGAAGGGCGGTGGAACCCCAGCCATTACTTGAAATTCCACCAGAAGGGATGCATCCTCTTTGTAAAACACTACCCCTGTTGATGTTTCCTTTTATATGACAGTTTGGAGAGGAAACCTTAATAAACCAAAGAAACAGTCATTGAATGTATATATACTATGCGCCAGCACATGCTCCGGAGCTGTGGCGTTTCTAGAATTCAACAACACGGTCTCTGCTCCCAAGGAGCTCACAATCTGACGAGATTACTTGGGACACCAAAACAAGCCAGCGTAATACATGATTTAAGGGCTACAGAATATGATTCTTTTTTTGTTCTTATCGCAGTGCTGTGAATAAATTTATCATAGTTCTTCCACTGGCTGGAAAACAGGGCAGCACAACAAAACAGAAGTGAGAAATAGGAAAATATGAAAAACATAAAGGGAGGAAAGCCAATGTCCCCCACTTAGATTTACGGTTTAGTACTCCACAATTTCGCACAGAGTGGATCCTGCCAGCTTGCTATCTCCGACAACTATAGTATTCATTAAAATCTGTAACACTGAAGATGGTTCGCTAAATTCAGCAGGGATGAGGGGCCTAGGAAGGAAGAGAGCCTCTCGGGAGTTAACACCACAGTCATTTTCATGATTACAAACCTGTCTCCTCGGCGGGACGTAGACACCTGGCGCAGATCGCCCGCCCGTCTGCTACTCACCCCCAGGAGGGAGGAGGCACCGTAGCTAAGAAACGGGACCCTCTGACAGAGCTTCGCGATGAAGTGCGCGGGACGTCACAAACCCCCGGACCTTAGAGGAGCTCGGCCCCCAGAAAACAAACAAGGATCTGGAAAAGCCAGAAACCCACGAAATTACCCGCGGAGCCCCGCGCATCAGCCCTGCCCACTTCCCCTTCGCGGAAGTAACTGGCACCCCGCCCACTGCAGCTCTGCCCCGGCGGCCCGCAAGTGGAGCGACGCGCGGAGGGGAGCCGTCCCGCCTAACCCGAGAGCGCCGGCGGGAATTTTTTATCCCCGCCCTTCTAATAAACCATTAGCAGCCGGGAGCTTGCCTGCACCGCACCCGCGCCCTCACCTTCCAAATCTCCTCTGCCTCCGCCTCCACCTTTGCCTCCGCTCAGTTACCCAGTCCAGACTGACGACGCTCCTCCTCCTTCCGGGGACGGGGGGAAGTCCCGCCTCTGGGTGGGGCTAGGGGCGGGGCCGGCGGTGGGAGGGGGCGTTTCCGGGAGCTTGTGGTCGGGGGAGGAGCGGTCGCCGCGCGTTAGGCAGGGAGTGTTACTGGGTCCTGATTACAACTGAGGTGGGGAGAGGGAGCTCGGCGGGCAGTGAGGAACGGGGAGGACTGTGTAGGCTAAGTACGCCAACGCGGGGAAGTGGGGCTTGCGGTGAAGGGGCTGACTGCAGGGGAAGGAATCCAACGTAACCGTCCCCCTGGGGAATGGGGCCAGTCCCCGACTCCCTGGCTCTTCCGCTCTCTGCTGTAACTTCGGGGTGTGGCGGGGGTTAGTGACGGCCGTTGACCCGGGATCTGGGCGTGAAGGAGGCTTGTGGTCACGATGGGGTTATAGTCTTTCTCGCGGCCACTGGGGGAATAAAACAAATGTTTGTAATCCGGATTATCCGCGGTGACTTGGGGCCTCCTCTACTGCCCATTTAAAGTTAAAGGCCTGTTCTCTCAGACTTCCGCCCCCCGATCGTCCTTTGCCGTCTCTTTGCCAGCCCAGCCCAGCCAGGGAAGGGGTCAGGGCCACCAGGTGCCTGGTAAGGTTGAAAGACTGAGTGTGTAAGGCTGTTGTTAAAGTGAGTCTGTGAGAGAAGGCAGGATTTAGAGGATTGCTTCTGTGTGAGTCTGGGGTGAGTCCCTGAGGCCCAGAGTCTCACCATGTCAGGGAAACGGAAGCGTGTTGTGTTAACTATTAAAGATAAGCTTGATATAATAAAGAAACTTGAAGATGGAGGTTCTTCCAAACAACTGGCAGTGATTTATGGAATTGGCGAGACAACAGTTCGGGATATAAGAAAAAATAAGGAAAAGATTATAACTTACGCAAGCAGTTCTGATTCCACAAGTCTTCTGGCCAAGAGGAAATCTATGAAGCCATCCATGTATGAGGAACTGGACAGAGCAATGCTGGAATGGTTCAACCAGCAAAGAGCAAAAGGGAATCCCGTGTCTGGACCAATTTGTGCAAAAAGGGCAGAGTTCTTCTTTTATGCTTTGGGAATGGATGGTGATTTTAACCCCTCTGCTGGTTGGTTAACTCGTTTTAAGCAGCGGCACAGCATTAGAGAGATTAATATTAGAAACGAAAGATTAAGTGGAGATGAGACAGCTGTGGAAGATTTTTGCAACAACTTTCGAGACTTTATTGAACGAGAGAATTTGCAACCAGAACAGATCTACAATGCAGATGAAACTGGACTGTTTTGGAAATGCTTGCCTTCCAGGACTTCAGTAATCAAAGGTAAATGCACAGCCCCTGGACACAAGTCAATTGAAGAAAGAGTCACTATCATGTGTTGTGCCAATGCAACAGGTTTACACAAACTTAAGCTTTGTGTTGTGGGGAAAGCAAAGAAACCTCGCTCCTTCAAGTCAACTGACACCTCAAACCTGCCAGTCTCTTATTTCAGCCAAAAAGGTGCATGGATGGATCTTTCCATTTTCCGACAATGGTTTGATAAGATCTTTGTGCCACAAGTTCGCGAGCACTTAAGATCCAAAGGCTTGCAAGAAAAGGCTGTGCTCTTGTTGGATAATTCACCAACACATCCAAATGAAAATGTCCTGAGGTCAGATGATGGCCAAATATTTGCTAAATATTTACCACCTAATGTGGCTTCGTTGATTCAGCCCTCAAATCAGGGAGTCATAGCTACGATGAAGAGAAACTATCGTGCAGGTCTTCTCCAGAACAACTTGGAAGAAGGCAATGACCTGAGATCATTCTGGAAGAAACTAACTCTGCTAGATGCACTTTATGAAATAGCAATGGCATGGAATTTAGTAAAGCCAGTTACCATTAGCAGAGCATGGAAGAAGATTCTCCCTACCATAGAGGAAAAAGAAAGCCTGGACTTTGATGAAGAAAATATCTCAGTGGCTGCTGTGGGTACCATTTTACAACACACCAAAGGATTGGAAAATGTGACTCCTGAGAACATTGAAAAATGGCTTGAAGTGGACAGTACTGAGCCAGGCTATGAAGTCTTAACTGACAGTGAAATTATCAGAAGAGCACAAGGCCAGACAGACGAATCCAGTGAAAATGAGGAGGAGGAAATAGAACTGATTCCAGAGAAACATATTAATCATGCAGCTGCTCTCCAATGGACTGAAAATTTATTGGATTATCTAGAACAACAAGGTGATATGATTCTGCCTGATAGACTGGTGATACGTAAACTTCGAGCCACCATCAGAAATAAACAGAAGATGACAAAGTCAAGTTAGTAATGGTATATCAGCATTACCATTGTTTTGGTAATTGTGTAACTCTTGATCTCTGCAATATGGCTTAATTTTCTTTGTGTTCTGAATTCTCAGACACAGCCCTGTGAAATACAGATACGAAAAATGTATCTGAAGTGGTTTGAGGATTATGTGTTTTGCAGCATCTGTCTCTTGTCCCTTTATCTGTGTAGATAATCAGAAGCTGATCCTGTATAGGTATAAATCACACATACGTATGTATTCACTTTTGTAGATCTACAATTATCCCTTCCATGACAGTGGCATTCCATAAATTTTCTAGCAGAAGTTACAGGTAACAGTGAACAGATTGAGCACTTTCCTGAAATCTTTTGTTTGATTTGTGAGGGCTGCCACAGTAATCTTTCTTTGTGCTAACCATCTTAAGTGGTTGTTTGTTTTGTATATTTGTATACACTGATGGAATGAGAAATAGCTATATTGTTAGATTTCAGGGTGATCTATAATAATTCAAAATGAAGTTCAAATTGAAGGGGAAACTGATCTATGAATTAATAAAATAACTTAGAAATCATGCTTTTCTTACATTTGTTTGGGAGGACTTTTTTCTGGAAGTAAAGTAAATATAGGAAGTGATTGCTAAATTAGAAAACTATTGGAAATCTTATATATAAGATATTCTGACCTATTCATTTGTAGAAACTGGGAGTTGAAAATTTAGGGAACGTTAGGCTATTTATACAAAGGGAATAAATAGGCTCATTTTAATTGGGTCTTTTTAAAAAAATTATTAATTGGATAACAGTATAGGTTTATTATTTATTCATCTAATTATAGTACAGGTTTTATAATGTTACATGTGGTGATGTGAGCTCCCACCCTATATGTGAGGGAATATCTTGAGTATTTGAAAGTTTTTTGTTTTTTGGGTTTTTTTACTATGCACTTGAAAATGTCTATAATTTGAAAAATTTCGTCATACCTTCTCCTTTTATTTGACATGAAAAGAAGAAATGAATAAAGTATTTTTAATAAGCTGTAAATTATCTGTTTTATGAAGAAAGCAGGAATAATTATGGAAAGTGCAGATTCTAAGGAATTTCATCATTTATTATTTTAACATTTGTAAAAAGGTATTCCTGAATTCGTTAGAATTTTGATAAACTTGCTTAACAACGTAGTTTTATTTGACATTGAAAAGATATTACCTATATGAATATTAATTTCATATGTAATTTAAAAGCAAAGTGTCTGCATATTATTTCATGTTTTGGCCCTAAATTTTAAAAAAAAAGAATTGTTCTCTATCAGTCATTTTTGAAAGGTTTAACTTTTTCATTGAAATACTTTGCATTTTATAATGACTTTCTTAGAACTCTAAAGCTTCAAAAATACTTGTAGCTTTCCATGATTTCTATTCTCTTCATGATATATGTCTAGTTTTTTAAAAAGACTTAACTGTGACCAGAACTGTTTAAAAATTGTATTTGTTGCATGAATTGCCTCAGAAGTTAACATACATATTGAATCAGATAATCACACATTTTGCTATAAATTAAATTGTATATAAAATTTTTTTCATTTTTCTAAAATGAAAATATGTACTAAAAAGTTTCTTGGAATTTCTGTCTGGATTTGCTCACTGTTTTTAAAATTAACCTTGTCAGTGAAATTCAGCTGTATCATTGCCACCTAGTGGTAAAATTAACATTACTGTTAAGCTGTGTGGTTTTAAACTTTAATATCTGGTAAAAGGTTCACTGTTTTGTGGCCTTGAGTGTGAATCTTGTGACTCTTTCTCCTGTGAGAGACTGACTCTTCTTTCTTTGGTTTGTAGCTATTTTCTCTTTTCTGAAAGCTGCCAACAATGGTAAACTAAAAGTTCTGTTTTGGACTCTTCTATCCTTAAATATAATTATAAAAGCTGCCAATTACTGAATACCATGTTGTGTTCTAAGCAGTGTATTTATATCAGTAACCCTAAAATTATGAATTAGGTGGAAATACTGATGCTCAGATCATACTCTTAATTGCTGAAGATCACTTGACTACAGGTAAGAATTTAAACCCAGGTATTTGATGCCAAAACCTACATTTATTTTATCCAACCTAGGCTAACCTCTTAACCTTTCCAATCTTCAACATTTATTCCTTGCCACCTTCCTCCGCCACCTGCCACCAGTGTCTGAATTTACTTCTCTATTTTTCAGTGCACTTGTGGCAGCAATTGCCCTTTCCTTTTACCCTTTTATGAGGTTAGCCTTCCTCTTGCACTACTCTCCATTTCCCTGTTTATCCACAGCCTAATAGCATTTGAAATTGGGATCATCTGTTTTTTGACTTCTGGTTAGCCATGCTCAGTGAGGATCCTTTCTCACTTCAGCAATTTAAAACCCACCATTGGGAAAACAATTCATGCAAACCTTTCTCTTTAGTTCATGAGGTAATCTCAAAGAGAACTGAAGAGTTGGCACAGTATAGTCCCAACATGAAAGTCTTGCCTTCCCAAAGTTGTTGTAAACCACTACCACCAAAGGCACGTTAGCATGTATACACTCAGATCCATACAGATCAAAGGGGAAAAAAAATAAACCCCCAAATGAGATGATATGGTGAAGAGAATGACCGTTAGGTTCAAATAAAAGAGGGGGTGGTTAGATGAGAAGAAGAAAATTAAAAGGAAATGTGGCCTACGGGGAGATTTGTTTTGTAATGATGTGAATTT